CCCCGTTTCAGGCTTCAGAGTTCACACTCTTGCTTTAACTCTACATTTGATTTGAAACATTATTATCTTTCCAAGACCCACTCCCCTTCTTTTTATTTTGTCTATTCTCAGAACAGAAAGAAAATCTGTTTCTTCATCATTAATTTGACTGTATAATTCATTGCTTGGGTATTAAAGGTTGTGCACACAACGATGTCACTGTTACAGTATATAATTCATTGTTTTGGCTTTTGGCTCCATTTCTCCATCGCTAACTGCTTGTTTTATTTAAGTAGAAACAAACATCTGCTCTGTTTGATTCTTATTGTTTTTCAGGTGTTTAATTTGATTAAGCTGTGTTGCAGTTATATGAGTTGCATAGACAATTACATTCAGCTGAGCTGATCGCTATTTACACAGAATTAAACACAGACATATCACTATACAGTCCTCAGTCCATGGCTTGCAAGCCAGCAGCAGAGCCAGATATAAATTTCTACTTACTTTTTTTTTCTTCAAATCTTATTTAACCTCTCTCTCTCTCTCTCTCTCTCATCCCTGTTTTGTTGTTGTTGTTGTTGGCGGCTTGCTTTGTGAGTTGTCCATTCCCAAATCCCATCCTTGTTTTAAATTTAGCCTGATAATATAACTATCCATTTGGGTACATGTGACTATAATTGTGCATTTCAATGGAAAGGCATTCTCCTGTCTGTATTATTTTGTATTGGGGATCTTTTCTTTTTCTTGTTCCAGTAAAACACAAGGATATTGCTGGGCAAGAACTAGAATCTCATCAGTCACACAAAAGACATAAATTTGAAACGATTTATACTTACTGAGACATGATATGGTATGGGCCCAAATTCTTCATCCTTGGCATTGCTCGAGGATGAGGAGGATTTTCACATTTCACATTTCACAGTTCTGTGCTGCATCCTGCATGCGGCATGCCCACCCAGGACCAGGAGCCAGCCCAGTATGGGTGTGGGTATTAAGTGGTTTCAAATCCCATGGTCCAATTCTGGCTCAGTCCTTTTACACTCCTTTTGTCTACATAAACTTTTTCTTCCTTCTTCTGGACCACAATATTCTTGTGCTTTTCTTGGGCTAGCTTCTGGTAAGAACCTTAAGATTATTGAGATGACCAACCATGCCATGTCAGATTGCTGAGTTGGTAAGCTCTGTGGGAGGGGCCCCGTACAATGGATTTGGATTTGGGTTGAAGATTCACAGACTGCAATTGAAGGACATTCACATTGAAGCTGGACACCTTTTACCTCCGTTTTGCAACCAAGGCCCACTTGTTACTTTGCTGGTTGTTACAAATTGTTGGCAGCTTTTCCTTGATATTCCTCCCCAGTCCCCTCCCCTGTTTTTTCATTTTGTCAATGCATGGGCACGGTGATAAAACGGAGTTCGCTCTCTCAAGAACTGAGAACTGAGAACCGTCTGCAGTATTTACTATACAAATACCCACCCACCACAGAAGAAATCAATGAACAATTTCATGGACCACCTGAAGCTGAAGAAATCCAAAATTGGGCCAACATTGTTGGACCTATAAACTTCAAATTTGCCATCTGGCATAGTAGCAGCAAACCACTTTGATTAAACATACTGGGTTGGGCCCTATTCCATCTCACATGGCATGTCCCAGATTTGGTTTAAGATGCTATGGTCACAACCAGATGTTTTGTTTTCTTTGAAAGAGCCATGGGGCTTCAACTCTGTTCCCACCCACCCAGCCCTAGTGAAAATAAAACACATGTTTTGCTACCAAAGTGAAAAAATAAAAAAGACAACCTCTACAGCAGAGTATTCTGGATAAGTCCACCGATCATGACCCATGACCGACCACCATGGAATGGGTTGGGCCTTTGCTCCATTTGTAAATTTTGTCAAGGACAAATAGAATTAGAAATCTGATCTAATTGGTTTTGTGGAACTACAAAACCAATAAACAAATGGAAAGAGGGAGGGAGGCGGAGGAGGAGAAGGGCAAACCTGGGCCTTAGGCCGTGGTCGGTGGACGGGGCTGGCATTGCTCCCCACGATAAATGAGGGGGTGTGCACCGCAGCAGCTTTTTAGACTGGGAGAAACGAGAATGACAGGAACGGGGACGGAAGAGGCCAGGGTATTTTGGTAATTATAAGATAAAACAAGGGGTAAATTAAGGCGGTTATCCCAAAGAGAGAGAGAGAGAGAGAGAATGTTAATGTGCCGTTGGGTGGTTGAGTGTAAGGTCTTGGCCTTGGGGGACTGGGGATGATCGAATCATCGAATTTCGTAAAGGAGGCAAAGCCAACAGCACCATCAAAGAGTCAGTCAAGCCCGGGTCCGACCCGATTAATGTTCAATATTTTATGCTCTTTCTCTCTCTAGTATTTATAGGGAGTATCTGTCGCTCCTCACTCCATCTCCAAGGAAACCGAGGAGAGAAAGAGAGAGAAAGTCAGAGAGAAAGCGAGGAGTCCTACTCCTAAAACGAACACACCCCGATATTTGCAGCCGAAGTTGAGGGGGGCAACAACATTGATGATCTTTCTCTTTCACACACACTCTCTGCCCAATGGCTCTAAATTAATATTTAATATTTCTCCTTCTACAGTTCTACTTCTTCTGTGCTAGGTGAAACACAGAACTACAGAGAGACGGAGAGAGAGAGAGCAACCACAGTAACAAATACAAATAAGAAAGTGATTTTTTTCTTTATCCATTTTTATTTTTCATTTAATAATCAGTTTTGAGATGGGTTCTTGGAGGTTCTGAAATGATGAGATAATTTTGTTCTTGGAATTTCTCAAGGCCATGGGCTCCTGTGTATGTATGTCATGATCTGTTTCTTTGTGCTTGTTTTTGTTCACTTGCTCCCTGTAATCATTGAATTTTTCTTGGCGTTCCGTTGAATGGAAAAGCTTTCCTGTCCCGAAGGAGAGGGATTCCACGGCTCCACGTCTCACCACAGTTAAAATTGCGAAATAAATCAAAAGGAAAAAAAAAAGAAAATAAAGAAGAAGAAAAGGCAAAGTAAAGGGTGTGGGGTGTGGGTTCTGTACTGTCTCAGCCTGTCCCCCCCCCCCACTAATCTCTCTCCCTCTCTCTCTGATTAATAACAGTCTCAGTCCAGAACCCACCACCAGCATTGGCTTTTTGCCTTTTGTTCTGTGCTTCTCGCAATTGTCTATGTCTGCTGCTTCTGCTCCCTCTGCTCAGTACTGCAAATGGGGGAGGAATCATACTTTGAATTTCTTGTTATTATCTGATCTTCGTTCCATTTTTTCATGCTTTAGCTTTCCATCCGAACATGAATTCCTTTCTTATTTGTTTCATTTCCTTTCCATTTCTTATCATCTTTTAGCTTTCTGGGTGCCCCTCTATGTATGAATTTCTTTTTCTTTGGGACTTCCTCTTCCACTTTTTTCAAGTTCTAGTCATGTGGACACCCCTCAAATTGTGAATTTCTTCTTGTTATCCCATCTGCATCCATTTTTCTTTTCGTGTTTTCGCCTTGTGGCTGGCTATTCTTTTCAACTCATTCCACTTCTCTGTATTCTCTTCCTTGCTGGTCGGCGGGAAGCGGGTTGTACTTGTCTTCGGCTTCTTTGAAGAATATTGGTGTTCATGGAAATTGATTTGAACCATGCAATCAAAGACGGGGAGAAGAGCTCATGTTGTCCAGGAGATTGTGACAAGGGCGGTGGTGTTGCTGGCTGTTCTATGTCTTCCCCATCTTCTTGTTGCTCCTCAACCTCTTCCGTCTCTTCTGTATCTTCTTCAACATATTTGGAGCTTTGGCATGCATGTGCTGGTCCTCTTACCTCTTTACCAAAGAAAGGGAGTCTGGTTGTCTACTTCCCACAGGGCCACTTGGAGCAAGCTGCTTCCTACTCACCGTTTCCATGCTTGGAAGTACCCACCTTTGGTCTCCAACCTCAGATCTTCTGCAGGGTTGTCAATGTTCAACTACTTGTAAGCGATGGTTTTCTATTTTTCGATTGAAGTCGTTTTATCTTCTTCGCATTGCTCTTTCTATCACTCTGGATTCTCATTTTCTTTCTCCCACTTTACTGCAGGCTAACAAGGAGAACGATGAGGTCTATACACAGGTGACACTCTTGCCTCAACCAGAGGTATGCTGTTAAATTGCTTCCCGACTATTCCTCATGCGCATGCTTTGGGCATGGACTAATTTTAGCTCGGACGTGAATGAAACATGCTGAACCAGATGATTCTCTCTTTTCTATATCATAGTGTTGAGCCTTCCCTTGATTTGGCTTTAACGTACTCTGAGTCTTATTTTATTTATTTATTTTTTAATTTATATTTATATAGTTAGGAGAGATGAGTATGGAGGGCGAAGGACACGAGGAGGATGTCGGGGCGGAGGAAGGTGGACATTTGCCCCGAAAATCAACTCCTCACATGTTCTGCAAGACGCTTACAGCCTCCGACACGAGCACCCATGGTGGCTTCTCTGTCCCTCGTCGAGCTGCAGAAGACTGTTTCCCGCCATTGGTAAGGTTTTGTTTATTTTCTCCAATGTTGGATAGATTTGGTGGATTGAATCAGTAGACTTGATAACGCTTCCCTGTTACAGGATTATAAACAGCAAAGGCCGTCTCAGGAGCTCATTGCCAAGGACCTTCATGGAGTTGAATGGAGGTTCCGTCATATTTACAGAGGTACTATTGATTGGGAGTATTTTTAATGGTGTCTGATTGAAGAAGGAAAATCATGGAATTTGATGTTTATTTTTCAGGTCAGCCTCGGCGGCATCTGCTCACCACAGGCTGGAGTATTTTTGTTAGCCAAAAGAATCTGGTTTCTGGAGATGCTGTGCTCTTTCTGAGGTATATATTTCTGGTTCGGATTCCCCCAAAAATGTTACTCCTGCTTAAATCCGTTGAACCCTGTTTCCAAATTTGTGTGTTGGTTTTGAAGGGGTGAAGATGGAGAGCTGAGATTGGGAGTTAGAAGAGCTTCCCGACCTAGAAATGGTCTTCCTAATTCAATTGTTGGGAACCATAATATGAATCTCAATGTTCTCTCGCCAGTGGCTAACGCAATATCCACCAGAAGCATGTTTCATGTCTTCTACAGCCCAAGGTACTCTTATTAACCATCGTTGATTAAATTTCCCAGGGCAGGTGTTTAAAAATGTTATAATAGTTCCAATTGTGTCACTACCAATATTTGCACAGATCATACTCACTTAAACAAGAACAAGAGGAACTTCACTCCCCTTTGAGCTAAAAAAATAAATATGCAGCTTATCATGCATTTTACTTTGCAAGGCATTTTTGTTAGTTTTTTGTTAATTCAATTGTAAGAATGTTGAAATTGTCATCTGATAAGCTCTGATACACAAAAATGGTAAGCATTAAAATGATTAAAGAAAAAATCAAAGGGAGCAACAACATGCCTTGATATGAGGACACAGGTTCAATCCCTGCTTGCTCTCTGAGGAAAAGAAAAGGATGGAAATGAGCTTTAGCTCAGCTCCTTTTTTTTTTCTTTTTAATAATTTGGTTCACATAGTATGCAACATATTATAGATAAGTTCTTATCTATTGATAAGTTCTTATCTTTTTTTCATAAAATGTGTGAACAGGCTTCTGACATGAGAAAAGAAATTGTTTTACAGCCAAATTTCAGAAATAAGAACTTTGTTTTCAACATAGCTAACTCCCAATGAGATGTTTTGGGGTTCATGCTATAGATAGTTACCATAGTGTGCAAAACTCCTGTTTTCTGGTCTGTGATAAGAGAATGGCATCTCACAATGAGATTCTCCATTCTTCAAAAGTTTCAGCAGTGGACCATTGAAAGGTAAATATCAGAGGCAAATCTAAAAAAAAAAAAGCATCTCAACCATATGCCATAAAGATGAACAAATTTCTCCTTATAAAACCTAAAGATCCCAAAATTAGAGTCTTGCAACAACTACAAAATGCAACCAAAAGATTTTTCACTGAAATCTATATAAGTGGTAGAGAAATTCATTCTAATACTTCTAACCAAAGAAAAGAAAAAGATCTTATGGGTTTGGGATTTGATCTTTGTCAAATTCCTCATTTCTTAACACAATCAATACACATACATAAACATCCCTTTGCACCTCTTGGAAGTTGGGACCTTTCCATGGTCTGAAAATGAAACTTCACATTCTGGTTCAAGGTATTCACTGTATTTTATATCCAATTCGAGATTATTCTTTATATCTTATTGGTGATCTTTGAAATTTTGTCTCATACTTTCTTAAAATGCAGGGCAAGTCCTGCAGAGTTTGTCATACCTTACCAAAAATATGTTAAAAGCATCAGGCATCCAGTATCTATTGGGACAAGGTTCAAAATGAGATTTGAAATGGAAGATACACCAGAGAGAAGGTGTGGTTTAATATGATTAACTTCCTTTCTTAATCAAATGTTTCTCTCTCTATAATCATATCCCAAAAGAATTTTGGATATTTTCCCTTTTTTTGGCAGATGCAGTGGTGTAGTGACTGGGATGGGTGATCTGGATCCCCATAGATGGCCTAATTCAAAATGGAGATGCTTGATGGTAATGCCCTCAAACTTGTTTCGTACAATCTGGGATTTAATATAAAATGATTTTAAATGTATGTTGCATTTAGGTTTGCCAGCAGTCTTAATTCATCTTCTCTATTACAAACAACCAAAATTCTGAACTTGTTACAATGTTTCCTTCCACATGAATTGCTAATTTTCTAGGTTAACATAATTCTAGGTATTGGATTAGGTGTTAAACTTGCTTGACCCAATAACTTTTCATATGAGGACAGTCCTGTATATAATAGATACCACCACTGACTTTATTGTGTTCACTGGTTTCACAAGTTTGTTCTCAGTCCAGGTGTCCTCAAATCAATAATCCGTTGATACCATTCCCTGGATAGAGCATTTGGTATACCATTTACCACCCTTGGAATCCACCTGAACAAGCAATTCAGTCTTATTGCTTTTGATCATGGTCTAGGTGCCCCCCAAACTAATACATCCCTTGATACCCCTTCCCTAAATGAGCAGTTCAGGCTTGTTGCTAGGGCCTTAACTTTCTGTAAGACCAAGGACCATCTGAACCATGGAATAACCATCCAATCACTACTTGTCAATCACCTAGGACTGCGAATAGTATCCATTTGTCTGAATTCAAATATTGAATTTGATTAAGTTAGTCCAAACTCGATATGTTTATAATTGGATAGAATATGGAACCACCCCAATAAAATATGCTTATATATACATGAAATTAATATTTTAAGTTTATATGCTTATATCTACATAAAAATAATGTAACTATTTGTAAAGTTGGTTCCTATGTTGTATGTTTACTACAGTCATAAATTCAATTCTCATAAAAAAATATTTTCAAGTAATTTCGTTCATATCAAAATCATTATAGTTCATTTTATTAATAATATAGAATAGTCTAATCATTTTTACTTTTATATATTAATAGTATTCAATATGAGTATTATTTGAATCTGATCCAATCCATTGCATCCCTACAATAACCTGATGTGAAGCTGGCTTTAAACCTTGGATGACGATGATGAAAATAACGACCAAGATGATCTCTGAATATTCGAATTCCTGAGGATTCTGGGTTGCCTAGACAGCAATAATCAACAATCATTTCTTTTCTACCCATTACCCATGTAACAACTATATGCTTCTCTCCTAGGGAAAAACCCATGAACTGTTGGCCAGCCTCTAGGTATTGTGCCTAGTGGCTCCTATAAACTCCTCTTTTGTTACCCAATGTGCAGCTCTTAGTCTTAGCATAATAAAGTCAATTAATATTTCAATTTCTTTTTCCTTATTTTCAAATATTTTAACATTTTTTTTGGAACCAAATGCTACATATAACCACATCTCTAGTGCAAGTCCACAAAAGTTGCATATTCACATTATAACTTTTATCATATCCTCAATTAATGAACATCTGTTCAATATATCTAATGCCCATACATGTCTACTATGTCAGTGGGGATTTTCTCAAGGCTGTTTCAAGGATCAAGATTCAGTTATCCATATTTTAAGATGAATAAGTAGTTTACTAGAAAACAAAAAGTCATTATATATGATTCATCTTATGAAAGTCTGCTAAATTTCCAATATGGTAGACATTTTCTGGAACACCTTGTGAGTTGACCACATTTGAGCTCCTATGTTGGGAGAGCAATGTCATGGTTTGAGATAGGTACCCTGGATATTTTATCAAATAATGGTCTCAAAATTCCCACCTGACCATCCAATGATTTATAAATTATGATCAATCTTCTACTAATTGGTTGGAAGTAAATGCATTCACTAGTGTTTTTTTTTGTAATAATTGGATTCACTGAATTCAATGAATCAAGAATTCAATTCTAAAATCACTTGTTTTGAGAATATATCTATTTCTTTTGTGTCTCACTTTGTTCTCGTTGCCGCTATTTTCTTGAGTTTGCAATTGTACCGGTTAGAATTTTAAAAAGCATGATTAGTGGAAGCTAGCACTACAAAACACCGTTGATTACCTTAATAAATTTGTGATTTACAAGCTTGCACATCTTGAAGGCCATATTTCTAATACTCCCCTTGTGATTATTGCCTCTAGAATTTCTTTGGCTCATCAAGCATTCAACCATTTTGTGCAAATACATATAGACAGGGCCATGCTAAAGTATGAAAGATGACTTTAAACCTTTTAGAGAATTGGGTGAATGTTGTTTAACATATAGGCATTTTATCTTTTTTCACTATGGCATCTAAACATTTTATCCAGTGTTTTAAAGAATCACAAACCAAATTGAACCATTTCTTCATTCAATTCAGTAGTTTGAACATTCAATTTCTGGTTTACACACAATCTGCTCTTTGAATTAGTGAACTGCTTTCTGGGCAGATTGTAGTTTCCTTTCAACTGTCTGGTCTAATCAATTTTCATAACTCTGATTCTAACAATTAACCCCCGAGATAAATTAACCCCAAATTGAAGTTATCTCCAAATGCCAACTGCTTCAGACAACTTTCAAATTCTTCCTTGCTTTTGGTTCTTATGGTCTTGATTGTGATGCCAAATTTTAGATTTGTGTTTTAGACTCAATTTGGAAGGAGTACAAATACAAATATGTAGAGTGCAAAATTTTGTATTTTGTATTATTTTGTATGTATTTGTACTGTACATATTTATATTTGTACTTTTTCCAAACTGAGCCTTAAGGGTGAGATACACAAATGATGGGGCATAAGCTTCTTCAGTTGCTTATGTAGAGAAGTGGAGTTTATTAGTAGTTTTGTAACCTACTTCTTACATACTATTAGTTTTGTGTTTTATATTTCCAACAGAAGCTTATAAATATTGTGAAGCTTTCATATGGTATTTTTTTTAACTCGAAATGTTTTTTTTTTTTTTTTGATAATTGAACTCGAAATGTTTTTCAACTATGACAACAGATTAGATGGGATGAAGATATTGCTAGAGAAAACCAAGAACGAGTTTCTCCATGGGAAATAGAACCATCAATTACGTTACCAGCTTTGAGCACCCCATCTGCCCCCAGGCTGAAGAAACTACGGATGAGTCTGCAGTCAACTTCACCCAATAATCATGTTACTGGTATGGATCTAATCATGAACGTTTCGAATTGTGCATAATATTGCATTTGTAATTTGTCTCTGATTTTGGGTAGGTTCAAATTTGGCTTCCTGTTGCAGCAGTAGGGGGTGGATTTTTGGACTTTGATGAGTCTCTAAGATCCTCCAAGGTCTTGCAAGGTCAAGAAAAAGCGGGTTTCATGTCACCACACTATGAAGGTGATATGGTAAACCATCCAGTGGGCTTTGAGGTGCATAATCCAGCAAACCAAAGTCTCATGATAACTGGCTCAGCAGCAACTGATATTGGCGGTTCTATGCAATCACAACCTACCACTTACACAGGCTTTGCGGAATCCAACAGATTCCAGAAGGTCTTGCAAGGTCAAGAAATTTGCCCATTGAGATCCCTGCATAAAAGAGCCGAGTTCAACCTTAATGCTTGGGGGGAWAATGATCTCGGTTACAACATGTACCAAGGACCCAACCCATATCACTACCCGCTTGCTCCAGATGGCATCAGAACCATGTATGTGCCATTTAATGACGTGTACAAATCAAGCCATAATCCCATCATGCACCCATACATGACCAATTWTCAGAGAGGGAGTTTCCACCCTTTAGTGTCTGCACAGCAAAAGTTCTTTGATATCATCAGGGATGAGGAGCGCCATCCAGGTTCAAATCATACAGCAAAAGAGCTGAAGCCTCTAGAAAATTTATCTTCTCCTACCACTCAAGATCTGGACCCAAAAGATGATGGGAAAGATGAAATTATGAATGGATCCAAAACTGGCTGTAAACTGTTTGGGTTCTCCTTGACTGGAGAAACCCGAGTTCCCAACTCTCAGAGTTCTAATAGAAGTTGTGACAACATAAGCTGCAATAGTAGCACAGTTGGATATTAATTGCGTTGCTGAAGTTCTTCTCGCTCGTCCTAAATAAACAAAGTGAAGGTTTACAAGAAAAGAAAGTTGGTGGGAGGAGGCGTTGATTCGTCAAGACCGAATGGCTATTGATGATCTGCTGAAAGAACTGGAGCGGCAATTCAACATTGGAAGACCTTCTAATTCTAATATAAAGGATGGCTAGTTGTTTGCACAGTGAGAATGATATATGATGATCGTGGGTGATGTTTTTTGACAGTGAGTTTCTCTATCTTATATCAAGTTGCTTTGTCTACGTATTACTTATTGAAATGATCAACCTTCACCATTTATACTTGGACGGTTGGCAGCAAGTTATTTAATCCGGTATATATGTATACACCACACGAGGAAGTGTCAAGTGTGGAAGATGACAATTGGAATGGTCAGTGATGGTACTCAATGTCAAAGTTGTTTGGAAGAAGCACCTGCATTAATGCTTGTATTGAAAACTTGAAGTCTTTTTCGGTGGAGCAACCTGATTCTTCTCCAACGGTAATTAGGATTTGACACTGTTTCTTTATGAATTATGTTTTCTAAGATGAAATTTACATATTTCCAAAAACCTGAATGGGGTACCTAGTTTCCTCCTGAGTTCAAACTTCAAATCTCAGTTGCTTCTCAGATGGTGAGATGTTAAAACTAAATAACTGGAAGGAAAACTTTCCCCCAGTCCAAAGGATCCTGGCATCCATACCCAGGAAGACAGTTCAGTTGCTATTGGCCATGGGTTTGGATTATAGACTGTTTGCCTTTGGCCGCTTATGTCTGATTGTCTCGAGAAGAAAGTACTGATACTGGGTGGAGAATACAACTCAATCACTGACAATAATAAACTACCCATCATTACTAGGCTACTGTGCGTATTTGGGTCCTGCCTGGATCTTAAAAGGAATATGCATACATGATTGAACCCATACTTGATCGGATTCTTACCATCGGACTAATTTTGGAATCCAATCTTTGAGATGATCAAAAAGTGTCACTCACCAACGATTCCTTGATTACATATCCTCAATCAGTCAGTCTCAAAGTCAAAACTCTCAAATGAGAACTCAGCGATAGTTTCTGATTCCCTTGTGGATAACGTTATTGAGACGAGGATTTATCAGTCAATCAAACACAGTGTAAGTGACCATTGAACCTTCTCTGCCCACCTGGTTGGGCTGGTTTTGCAACCAATGGCCTGCCTAACGAAGAGTATAAGACAAGGAGCAAACAGTAACATTAACCGAGCACAGAAACTAGTTTTTTTTTTTTTCTTTTTCCTTCTTTATTCCATTATTATATCGGAAATACATTATACCTGAAAAACTTATAACCAATCAACCAATATCGCAAAAGTGATAAGCGATCAGGTTCATGTGGGGTTTTGTTTGGTCAAAGCTCTTTCGATATCACTATCATGTATTTTCCCTTTTCTTTTGGTTTAGCATTACATACAAGCCACACTGTGCCGCACCAAACAAGATTGGCCCAGCCATGGCCTACAGCCATCCCACCATGGGCCTTAATATTATACATCAAATCTGGGTCACTACGTAAAATATGTTAAGCTCTAAATTAGTTGGGCTAAGACTGCATTTGGCATTCCTTATTTTAAGGACTTATCTTTTTTTTGCTGTTAAAATGCCCCTGTGAATTTAACTGCAAAAAATAAGAAATGCCAAATGCAGCCTTAAATAATGGACCTAACGGGCCATTTAGTGAACGAATAATTCTTGATTCTGTATGCTATTCCTTCATTTATCTGAAGTTCAGATTAGGCTTGGTGACAATCCTTTTTATTGATCATATGGCGACAGAGTCAGTGGTATCCCTAGATTGCCCCCAACTCAGGTGAAGGCAGGATTCTGGGATACAACCAGCTGGAGACTTTACCAGCAGGCTAGCCGGTACCTTATTTTCATTTGTAACATACCTACTAGGTTAAATTTAGAAAATTCATCATTTATAAGTATGTAGATGAGGGTGGACCTTGGCGCAACAGTTGAGTGGCTTCATTGCAACCTGGGTGATCAGGGCCTGCATACATCTTTTCCTCCCTAGACCCTGCATGCACAGGAGCTTAGTGCATGGGCTGTCCTTTTATTTATCATTTATAAGTATGTAGAGAAAAGCAATGGATTGGGATCGGCCCATTAAGTTAACTAAACCAAAACCCAGTTCATTTGCAATAGGACCTGCTGTGCCCCAAACCAGTTGGTTTCTAAAACTTACAGCTTGTAAAAATGTTTATGCCGAATTTACGAAACATGGATCTTCTACCCACAAACTGTTCTGACATCCCTGTCCACAGGTAAACAAGACAATGACCATTTTAGCTACAAATATCAATTATTAAAAGGGGCATTTTTGTCCCATCCAAGTGTAAGCAACTTTCCTGGGGGCCCTAGGTGGAAAAGTTATTTACCTACTTAAAAGATGGACAAGTGATACCCAAGAAAACAAATTTTCCCTGATCTCCATATAAATCTGAAAAAAGAGCATATATTTCTTGGTCAATAGGAACCAAGTTTTCCCTCCCGCCTGCCCTCAAAATCCAAAAAACAAATACCCCCTACAGGTGCACTTTGGAAATATCTCCCTCATCATTCATGGAGAGATATTCCCAACACACTGCGGCAGTGTTGTGTGGGCAGAGATGTGAGAACAGTTTATGGGTAGGAAATTCGGAATATTGACACTAATGTTTGAGGTTGTATATATTTGAAACTGAAGAGAAGGGAATGGTGAAATAGGGTTCATGTAGATAGTTGGAACAAGGCTTAGACAGGGACATGGGTAGCTATGGTGAAGTGGTAGCCAACTACCTTGATTGACAAGCTCACATGAATTTCATGGGTCTGACACTCTGCCTATCACCTAAAACTCGTGTACCCACTTCTTTGTTTGTTTATATTGGACGTCCACTACTATGAAACAAATCTCAAGTCTCAAGGTCTATGTCCAACTCCTTGATCTAGCTTTTGAATAAAATGATTAATGAGATGTCTGTCACAGTGATACCACGGCCCAATTGGATCAACAATTGGGCTTGCTATTTTGCCATATAATCCCTACTTGATCAGGTGTCACGGGGAGCATGTATGCCCAAGAATCTCCTGCCTTCCAGTGATCTCAGCAGAGAGAAAACTTTGGTCTGGGCTGTTTGGGAGTTTTCTTTTACCCCGCACCCATGGTGAAACTTTCAAACTAAACAGCCTCTAAACTGCCAAAGGTTTTTCAATCTCAGATGAATGGGAGCGAGGCTATACTTCTCTCCTTCTAGTTAGGCCATTTAGTAATGGAGTCTACAAGACCTAGGAAATTTCCACGTGGCAACTGGTTGAAAATGGAGTTCATCGTTCCTCATCCATTCTCCACCCATCTTATATTCATGGAATTTTTTGGGCCCAAATGACTTGCCACGTGGACGATGTTTGGGGTTCCCTGTCCAATTAATTCATGGTTGGATAACTTGGATTGGCCATAGGATTATCTCCATGTTACTTAAGTAGATTATGTTGTGTATAATGCAGCTGATTTTAATTAGATGCTTTTAATTAAAAATAAAATAAAATAAAGAACAAGTGTTCAAAGTTCAAACGAGGGTTTAGTTTTCGCTACACCACTTTTTTTCAGGGTACGGATTTAGTAGGTACAACATAAGTAAGCACGTTAAATGAGTACTTGATAAGTATTTTGACAAGTGTCAAAAATGGATTTTAATCTTTTTCAAGAATGGGATGAGGGTATTTTAAGGGACAGGTGTCAAAAAAAATTTCAAGTGCTTATTAAACATGCTTACAACGTTGTGCCTATCAGATCCGAAATGTTTTTTTCATACTAAAATGTGCCGGTAAATACTAAATAGACTTATGTGGAAAACGTATGTTAAGTCTCGGGCCATTCAACCTTTTTATTTTCACTTAACGATCTGAATGCAAACGTTCACCCAATAAAATACAAAAATAAAAAATTAATCTGATTAATTTTTTAATTATTAATCAGATGTAAGTTCTAATATTCAAATCCAAAATAATGGGACTGAAATAACGTCATTGTTAGGAGTCCGATGCAGAGTACAAAAACCCAACGAATTATGGAAGATAGATCATATTGTTGTGTTCAAACTGATCACATTCTAGCAAAAAGCAAACTAAAAATTATAGAAGATAGATCAGATTCATTAACTTCAATACAAAAATCAAACTATTACAGAATACACAAAAAAAAAAAAAACAAATCCGTGATTCATTAACTTCAACACATACAAAAACCCAACAAATAGATACAAAAAACCTAACAACAGAAAAATGGGAGGTTAGAGATTCTAGTGAGTAGAGGATAAAGAGGGAGTAACACCACCAAAATCAATAGCAACAACAGAAACGAAGGAGAAAGAAATGGCAGAGGAGAAAGATGACATCGGTGGTGGAGAAAGCCTGGAGGAGAGCTTCGGTGGAGGAGACCTCCATTTGCGATAGAGCACGGCGGCAGCAAGTTTCGGCAGTGGAGAGGTTAACGGTAAATGTTGTAGGGTTAGGAGTGTGTATGCGAAACATAATATCAAAAATGAACTGAGAAACCTGTTGCCGATATTTGGGGTTCGAACAAGATCGGTCCAATGATATAGTGTGGACTAGTCTTGTCTACACCCAACCAAACTGTGTTCACCCCATGGCATGAACCAAAATGGTATGTCCACAAGATGAACCGAATGCCCTCTAATTGGTTATGTGTCCATGATGAGAAACGCCCAAGAAATAATCATATAATGGAAGAAATAAAAAACCAATTCTCAGAATTGAATCATCATTACCCTCTTCATAACACTAAAACCATTACTCTCTTCATAGAACGTTGCTTCTTTCAGAACTCTAGCTACAGTTACAAATAAGAGATTTTGCAGAAAAGTTGACAATTTAATCCACAATAACTACTCCAGTCGAGCTTTCCACAAAATAAGCCATTAAGAACCCTATTATTGCAGGCACAACCTGGATAAAATTAAAGAATAGAATGTCAATGGTCACTTCATTATAAAAGTGCCCATCAAATCTAAATATCAGAATAAATAAATAGGAGAATGATGGTTCAGCCCAGGGTCAGAATTCATAGGCACAAAGTAGACGGTCAGGCGTTAATGCATAGGGTGGGGGTAATTGACCTTTTGAAATGTTGTAGATCTGCAGTGGAAATCAGAATTCTACAATAGGTCTGTCCGTACTTCTCCATAAATAAATACTAGAACCAACCATTAAATAGTTCAGCTTGGGGAAAATGGAACTAGGGCGAGAAATTTTGACCCTAACCCATTTGACCCATCCACTTGAAACCCAACCCATACCCACCCATTTGAGTGGTGGGTCAATATGGGTCGAGAGACACATTAAGTTTTGGGTGGATTTGGGTTGGGGATACCGGCCCTTTAGGGTTCCTAAATCCCAACAGCTCTCCCTCTCACCTTTTCACTCCTCGAAGCTTCCAACAAGACATCGCCTCCCTGCATCGAAAGACAGGATGATAGGAGCTCCACC